AGGTGGCTCTTCGACGAGCACTTCCGACAGCTTGCTAAAAGCTGGTCGGCGCTGCGTCTGCCCTAGGGCGACTTTTGCCCAATATGGGTGGACCCAGCGTCGCGACAAGACGGCTGTACACGGGGGTTGTCCGGTCAATGGCACTGTACGGTGCACCGGTGTGGGCGGCGGCTCTGACCGCCCAGAATAGGGTACGCCTCTGGCGCCCTCAGAGGGTAATGGCGGTCAGAGCCATACGCGGTTACCGCACCGTTTCGACGGAGGTGGCATGCGCGTTGGCCGGAACTCCCCCGTGGGATTTGGAGGCGGAAGTGCCCGCCGAAGTTTATCGGCGAGTGGCTGACTCCCGGGCGGAGAGCGGATTTCGCCCTCCGCCCGAGGATGTGCGCGAGTGGCGCGAAGCCGCTCGCCGAGCCACGATGGCTCGTTGGTCGTTCCGGCTGGAGACTCCACGCGCTGGCTTCGCCGCCGTGGAGGCTCTCCAGCCGGTCATCGCGGAGTGGGCAGGGTGGCAGCACGGGACCCTTTCCTTCCGGCTGACGCAGGTGCTTTCCGGGCACGGTTGCTTCGGAAAGTACCTGCACTCGGTCGCTAGGAGGGAACTGAGTCCCGCCTGCCACCACTGCGACTGCAGTGAGGACTCGGCCCAGCACACGCTGGCGGTCTGCCCCGCATGGGCGGCGCAGCGCCGGGCCCTCACTGCAGTCATCGGAGTGGATCTCTCGCTACCGGCCGTGGTACGCTCCATGGCCGGTAGCGACAGTTGTTTTACCGCGGTCGCAACCTTCTGCGAGGTAGTAATCTCGCGGAAGGAGGCGGCGGAGAGGGCCCGGGAGGACGATCTCCACTCGGACCCGATCCGCCGCCGGCGAACCGGGCGGCTGAGGCCCGCCTATCACCGCCTCATGCCGCCCTGAGTGTGGCCGCGGGTGGACGGGGTGGGTTTCCCCTCCACCCGCATTAGTTTGGCCAGCCGCGAGGGGGCGGCGTCCGCGTGTGCCGGACGTCGCCTAAAGAGAGGAAAAAAAAAAAAAAATATTGAGACGGAGCCCGCACCAGGAGCGGGCTGGCGCTAGGAGGGGTCCGGATGTCTTAACAACAGCTGTTCCCGGATCCCTCCTGTTACAGGCGCAGAGTGGCACACCGTGTGGTTTTAGTCGGTCCGAGTCCGACACACCACCAAGCCGCAAACCCCGGAGGGGTGACGGTCCGAGGGGATTTTAACAGGTTAAAAAAAAAAAAAAGGCCTAATACTGGAAGGAAAAATAAAAGCCAAGAGAAAACGAGGACGGCCTACATTGACATACATACAGCAAGCGAAAGAGAAAGTGGGAGTAATGGTATATCAAAAGATCTAACAGATCGCAGGAAATTGAGAGGAGTAGCGATTGCTCTTAAAAGACCTCTTAAATTGAGAAAGAGAGGTTTAATAAAATCAGTAGAAGTAGGATCTGTTACAGGTGACGTCCGTCTAATATACATTTCTTACAACACAGGGACGAATACAAATAGGTTAATGAATTCTCGGGAATTGTGCCGCGTCAGATGCAGTCACCTATTTTGAGGTAGTAATCTGAAGCCCAATACAAACGAGTAACACGTTCAGCCTAATTGTTGCAGAGGTTTGATATTCTATTTAACCTGCAAAATTCTCCGGCTAATTACGTACTGTCTATATCCTGTGGTTTGACCTTTATTTATTTTGACCACACGGCTCTATTTAACCAGCAACCTATTATTGAAACCTGATGGTACTCGATGACATGCGTCGCGTGTTTTCTAGAAATAGAAATTGAATATGAGTAAAATCGCATATTCAGGGGTTTAATAATGTACTTTTTAAATTGTTTTTAGCATATAGATGGCTCTCCCACGTTACAGCTTTAACGTAATTATCTGTTGTCAATCATTGCGCTCTTAAGGCTTTTCAAATGTTTTTTGAGCTTTCTATTAACTATCTTCAAGAAATTTATCAAATTATTTAGTTAGAAGACTATCCATCCCTAATAAAATGAGATTTAAATAGAATTATAGGATACTAGCTGTCCCGCGCAATTTCGTCTGTGTCTCTAAACAGGATTTTTTTTCCCGTTTTTGCAACATTTTTCATTGATGGTCGGCACCTGTTGGTCATAGCGTGATGTTATACAGTCTATAAACATCCTCAATAAATAGGCTATCCAAAAGTAAAAGAATTTTTCCATTCTAACTAGCAGTTTCAGAAATTAGCGCTTTCAACCTAACAACCAAAAAAAACTGCAGCTTTATAATTTTGTGATGATGAAATGTGTGATAATGAAATGTGTTTCGCATTACAGTTTTTTACTTTCTTTGACAATTTTCGCTAGGCTGTACCAGCTAAATGCCTGATCAAAAATGTAGGAATACTCGTAAATAGGTTGTAAAGAGATTTAACGTTCTACGCTTTTTTTGTATATTTCTTTAAATAAACAGTTTTACATATTTATAAAACGCATCTTCTCCGTGTTTACACACGATTTATTTTTACTGAAATGAAAATCTATCCACTACTTGTGACTTAGCAGGCTTTAATCATTATCTTAGTATGGTTTACTGTCCTACAACACAAAACAAAAAACATTTATTTATTTATTTCCTTTAAAAACCATCTACTTATTACGCAGAGCCTAAACCGCTACAAACTTGTAAATTTTGGCCAGATGATGCCTTTTATTTTGTTAGCACCCACTAATGAAATTTTTTTGGCTAGATACCTACTACGAAAATACCTTTTATGACAATTGCGAGATCGAAAGTTGACCGGAACTGAATTGACATCGAACTTTTATTGGGAGAATTGGCCTTCTGGTGTACATGCGTTACAGTAGAATCAGTCCTAATATTTCCCTGCTACAGAGTTGCCTCAATTTACCATGACCTTCATGCTGCGCAGCCACATGCTTTACTAAAGGCTGTTAAGTTTGCCTACGTTGCGTTTATACCAGCAGTTCTTACAGTATGCATTTTTTTTAATATTATTATTTCACACAACTCACACACAACGTCATCTAGTTTCATACTAAGCAGAACTTGTACTGTGAAGGTTAGATTGACTGATAAAACACTTTTCTTTTGTGAAGACTTACGTATTCTACATAGAAAACACCCAAACTCCTAAACAAATATTTGCAGATCATAAAAACATTTGGTATAATCCGGAATTCGAAACTGAGACTTCAGTACAGCAGTCCCATAAGTTACCACTGCACAACCGAGGCAGCCAATCAGTAAACTTTGAGACCTATGCCAGCTGTATTAACATCTCATATAGCATCCTAACAATGTTAGTGTTCTATACCATTTATAGTAGACAGTCTGGTATCTAAATATTCAGTCTATGATATTTGATGTGTAGCCTGCATCGATGTATAGTATAGCAATTACTGCAGTCAGGGGTTGTTGTCTGTTCAAATCAAATATGTTTTAACTGTACGACCGACAGCACATCACATCACACCATTTCAACAATATATATCCACTGCGAAGATAGGCCTCTCCTTAGAGGTTTTGGCCTAATATACCACGCTGGTAAGACGTGTTGTCATAGAGTTTATTTCCAGGTTTTCGTCTCTTTGTAGTGCTGTTATGCTGTGTAATTTGATCCCTTAGGTGGCTCTTACACCCACGGGATGAATAGGAGCGACAGCACAAGTAACTTTAGTGCACTAATGATTTCTGGCTTCTTATTCATGAGACTTAACATGTGGAGTACTGTTTTAATTCTAATCACGGAAGTTAAAATTTTCAGTTTTGTTTTAGTAAATTTTGAATAATGCTTGTGAGTTTTAAATCAAGTAAATATCTACTTAAGAAATTAGGCGAATTTCAATCGGAAATCTTTATGCTGATGAGCCACAAGACAAGAACAAAACAATAAAATACCTATTTAAAAAAAAATAAACAAACAGGTTTTTCCTATCAAACTTATTTCATTTACCACACCGCATTTGATACCAAATCGTTATTAAAACATTGAGAAGCCTAAATAAACAAAAGATTTAAATACAAGCCAGTCCTTTTTCCCGGGGAAGGTTTTGTGTAAATCGATGATAAATGTGTTTTGAATAAGCCTTGTTTGGGATTGTAATTTTCATTATTGTGTCGTGTTACTTCGTGTATAGAATTTGAGGCACACAATAGTTGATGATATGATGATACCAAAGAAAGAATGAAACGGAGTGAACAGTAAACTGATAAATGATGAAGGAAAATAGAAGAAGAAAGACACTGAAACAGCATTAGGAAAAGGACTAGATGATTATGATTATGATGTATAGTGTCAAGATTATTATTAAAAACATATTAAGAAAACAAACATTAAAGCAAAGTTTAAATTAAAACCTAGCATGGACTGTATAAAAACAATAATATCTATAGTATAAATACCCAATATTTTGAAACGTACACTAAATTAGTGTATTTATACTATAGATACCATAGCCAAATTAAAAAAGTCTGTCAAGCTTCATAATTGTATTCTCCTAGACAGTAAATTCACTACTGTTTTTAATATCATACTTTATAAATAAATGTTATGACACAGTCACTTCGATGGTGAGGATTAGTACACTTTGCAAATGATCGATAATATTGAGACATGGCATCTACATCATAAACAGAACACACAATGACATCATTGTGTGTTTTGCTTACGATGTAGATGTGTCTTAGTACATTTTTTTCAATTAGCTACAAATTAATAATAGACACATAATAGCTACAGGAGATCAGGTGAAGGAACGTGGGAGTCGTGACCTATCAAGAGATCAAACAGATGCAGGTAAAAGAGAGGAGTGGCAATTGCTCCACCGACAAGGGCTTGGCTTTAAAATTGAGAAAGACAAGTCATTAAAGTCACTTGTTTATAGTATATTTCCAAATCGTGCTATTTTTAAATTATTCTGGTTTACTATTCTCTATAAGAATATGATTAAAAACAAAATTAGTAGTTATTAATTGATCACTAATAAACAGTATTGCTATTTATTTTTCTTGACCTTGATGTTTTTCCTATTTTTCCTTAAATAACTTAACATTTTTTTCAGTAAACCGACTAAGGCTAAAATACCAGTAATTAATAGTGCTATCAAATCCAAATATAATTTTTGATATAAAGGAACATATAGAGCTGGTGACCGTAGATGAGGTGCTCCTTTCGTTTTAATAACGTGTTCTACCCAGTGAACAATTGCTGCTCCAGGTTTAAGGGGCCGATGACGATAAATGAAGGAAAAGTCTTTCACTTTCTCACGGTACCTGGAAAATGATTAATAGCACAATTAATTGATTGATAAAATAAGATTATTACACAAATAATGCTTTTGGAATTGGAAAACTATGGAGATAGAAAATAAATGATTAAAATACAATATTAAATTATTTAATCACAACAAAAGAGGAGATAATAATATACCTCTAGATTTGTTGTAATGATAGTAGTAAAGGTGACGTCATTCATCATCGCAGAGAAGTAATTGGCAAAAAGTGTAGGTGCCATGACAGAGCCCTGTTTGACGCCACTTGTTACTGGGAATTGTTCTGTAAAGCAGTTTTCGTGCTGTACGCGGGCAAACATAGAACTGGCGTACTAGGTTGACAAACTTTGGTGCACATCCATACCTCTCCAGAACAATCCAAAGGGCAGACTTTGGGACACGGTCGAAAGCCTTTTCTAGTCAACAAAACACATATAGAGGTCACAATGCTGTTCAAGGCATTTTTCTTGAAGCTGTCTTAGAACAAAGATAGCATCAACTGTGCCTCTATTTGGTCTATAGCCACATTGGCTTTCAGGAAAAAATCTCTCAGCTTAACTAGGCGACCATTAATAATATGCGCTATTATCTTGCCAGCAGCAGACAGCAAGGCGATGCCTCTATACGAGCTACAGTTTGAGAGGTCACCTTTCCCCTTGTATAATTTGCTTATAGTGGCATCCTTCCAGTCCTGTGGAACCCTTTCCACTTCCCATATTTGCAACACAAGTTTAGACAGCCGGGTCTTAATGTTATGCCCTCCATACTGAAAAACTACTGATTGTAGACTGTCAGAACCCGGTGACTTGCCATTTTTCAAGCGATTTATATCTCTAAGAATTCTGACAAAGACGGCGGATTTTCGAGAAGATGGAAGTAGGAGGTTTAATATGTTGGCAAAGATGGGTTGTTTAAGATAGAGTATAAGACAGTGAGAGCTCGTAGTTTCGTCGCTCGCTCGTCGGAAAGCGGATACAAAATCAAATTTCGAATCTTTTTAATTTTTTTAATCTTTTTAATTCGAATTTCGAATGCAGTAATTAAGAAGACGGTCTAATTTATCGAGAAGATCTGCATTCAGATCATAACAGCGCACATTACCATAGTCGATTAAGGGGAAGATAAGGGGTGCCAAAAGCATGGTTTTGGTATTTGCGGGTAGGAAATTTCTCAGGCGATATAGAGTCAAAAGTGTTCCAGTAACCCTCTGACACTGTTTTTCCATGGTGCTAAAAACTACCACAATTTCACAAAAACAAAACACCATCTAAAACAAATGACTGAATTTTAAAATAAAATAACATGACTTCGAAATTTTTTTTTTTTTGAGTTTCGAATTGTGCACCAATCCACAGATAATTAAATCTGAAAATGCTGCTTTAAAAAACTGCATAGGTAAAGACCTTTTATAAGACAATATGAAAATGATTTACTCGTATAAGATGTTATGTTGGAAGGCATCAGTATCTTTATGATTGTCATAATAATCATGAGTTTTGATTAAATCTTCCAATGATAGTCACAAGCCAGAATCCAGGTTCTTACTATGGTCGAAACGGAAAATAACTATTGCAGACTCAGTAAAGCAAACATATTATGTACTATGATCCGAATACTCGAAGCGTAAGAAAATATGTGTCTGTTCCAAAAAAAAACACAAAGCGTTAGGTCAACATATCATGATGCTACCGTAATTTGTAACTATCGTAAATATATTGATTTAAAAAAAAAATATTCATTTTTATCTTTCTTCTTGTAGCGATAACCTAAATCTATATTTCCTTCTCCAAATTAATTCTCACAGTATTACTTACTTGGGGTTTGATAGCATTTCATGAATAGCAATCTTCAATTTTTCTGTCATTTCACCACTCAGGTCAAGTTGTAAAGCAAATCCTCTTTTGACAGCTCTTATCATATTGACATGATGGTCCGCAAATAGGGGAATACCGACGATTGGTACCCCATAGTGTAAAGCCTCCGAAATTGACAGGAGGCCTCCGTGTGAGACTAAGAGCTTGCAGTTAGGATGAGCTACGAATCAAAATATTTATATGAATATAGCAGGCATTTTTTTTCTTTGTCACTTCAATGAATAAAAATTGAAAATCTGTATATTTAAAGATACTTTTAAGCCTACTGAGTAGTTTTAGTGATTGATAAGTATTTATATCATATCCAGAGTCATCATATAGTAGAAATACTTTTACTGTAGCTGATAGTAGTAAAGTTTTAGTCGTTAGAATTTTTTTTACCGCATTCAATCAAACGGTTTACACTATTAAAACGCATAGACAAGCTCCAATTGCCGTTTGTTTTTTGTTTTATTAAGTATTGCAAGGTATAATTTTACTATAAACTGATGACCTTATCTCTTGAACTGCAGTTGAATAAATAAACTAACCTAATATACTCTGCTGAGGCGCCCACTTCAAGATATGAACATTTTCTGGCATATCCGGTAAATCTTCTTCGAGTTTCCAAATAACCGTCTGTTTTAATTCTCTAAATACTTTTAGTAAATCCATCTTCATTTTGATAGGCATGGTTTTGGCTTTAATAACAGTACCCATGCTGAAGTAAATGACACCATTTTCACTTTCATCCATTATCTTTTGAATTTTCTGAAAAAAATAGTAAGTTTTGGCTTTACTGATATGTAGTGGTATCAGATAAGTACTAATAATAAAACAAGTTCAAAAAATACTTTAAAACTTTTTACTCTTGCCTTCTTTTAAATAATTAATTGTAAAATGTTTGTAATCTTTTATTTGTTAAATATTTATATTATAACAAACCTCTGGTAAAGGCTTAACATTTTCTTCTATATGAAATCCACCAACTGGAATATAATTTTGTGGGAGCTTGTAAGCTTCACCTACAATTGGATAAGAATTACCGAACACCAAAGAACTTTTATATTTAAATTCTTCTAATGTCGGTAAAGTGATTCCCCTTTTGTCTGCAGCTGGACCATATGCTTTACTAAAAGCTTTTTCACTTTTATCTGTCAATCCCCTAAAAGAAAGAACCTAATAAGTAAAACTATTATTCTAGAAATTATAAACATGGATCATTTAGTAAAAAAAAATCTTACCGTCTAGTTAGGAACAATTGAATGAGTAACCACAATTCATTTGCGCGTTCAATAAATGTTAAAGGTGGAGTAACTGGTGAGATGTGATCTCTAAAGTATGCAGGACTCTGTGGTTCATCGATCAAACTTAAAATCGCTGGATGAACCTCAAAAGATGATGCCCATATGTATGGTATGTTAAAAACCGCTGCAAATCTAGAAAAAAAATATGAATATTGGATATTTGACCTCTTTTTCAATCGCTAATTATGACCAATATAACAAAGTATTTTTAAATTTACTGACCAGCTTTTGCCAGCGACCTCGTCCGCAAGGTGGTCAATATCAGCCATCGCAGAGGATACGATTGTACCAAAAATAACGAAGTTATGATAGTAAACAGGACCGAATTACATTTAGCTTGGCTATAAACATATAAAGAAATAATGAAGATGTATCTTACCCGGAGTTGAATTCTGAATACAACCATTGGATAATGGCCAGGTCAAACTTCTCGTTATTCTCTTTAAGGAACTTCTGAATATTCTCATCGCTGACACATTTATTTTGTAAGTCCAACAATAGGTTATACAGGTATTCTGAATTTCTAACGTCATCTCCAAATGTTTTTAAGGACTCGTAATTAGTAACTTTTAACTCTGAAAAATGTAATGAAATAACTATAACCTTTTGTGATTCTAATTAGGTGCCAATAAAAATTGCCAGTTCTTGGCAATAACTTTGCCCCCTTAAATGAAAGTAGTGAGGACACGATCTAATTTTTTTTACTTCTCAACAGAACACTACCCCTTTCTTTTGGTGATATAGGTGAAAAATTCCTTAGGGTATATGGCTTCTTGGGGATACAGGAGCCAGTAGTATGTAGTGTTGCCACTAAAAGCCACTCCGATTACCAGCCTCAATCCGATCCTACTCTGGGGAGAACCCGGGCCATGTGATTTCAGGTCCCCCCGAATCGACACCAAAAACACAAGCCTTAAGCATCGTTAATTAATAAATAGATTAATCAAATTAAGTATGACTTCAGAACAGTAATATCAAGCAATGTTATCGTACATGACTTTCATAATATGTTAATACAAACATTGAAAGTACTAAGGTAAGCAATAACGATAATGACAATGAAATCCATAATAAATACTGGTAATATTCCAATCCCAGGACTTTGAATATCACCAACTCAATGACCAACAATACGATTTTCGTCGGAGTTACTCAACGGGTGATCATTTACCTCAGTCACTATAGGGCGCAGACAATCGATACCAAGGGAGAAGCGTAAGAGCTAGTTACCATAGTCATAGCAAATGCCAAGGATTCCGCGGCATGCATTATGACAAAGTATTATTATGCCAATAAGAGTTATTCAAAAACGTTAGCCATATCTATATAATGCTTTAAAATTTTATACCACGAGGAGGAATCCTTCTCTTTAGCAGTGAACGCGAAACCCTGTATCTTCATCGAGTCAAACTAAAGTTTTCGGAGGGAAGTTTCGGTTTCGTGTTACATCGGCTCTCAACGATGTTTTTAGACAAACATTGGCACGGCCTATTTTATACAGGCCTCACCCATGCCGTCATGAACATAGTAACTACAAATTTGCATCACATTTTTGATAACAAGAACAAATAAATTGGGGGATGACAGCACATGGGCTTGTGGGATACCATTGATTGACTAAGAGTCATTAATATCGTTGACAATGGTTTTAATGCTTCTGTATTTAACAAAACCGAGTTAAAACTTTCTCTAGACGACCACAAGAAGGAAACTCTGAGAGAAACGATTTGTGCCAGACTAGATCGAATGCTTTCGCTGTGTCCAAACCAATCAAGCAAGCCTCGTTTACAAGAAGATCTCTAGCTGAGCGACGGAAACCGTATTGTTCGTCATTGGGAAGCTGTTGACCTTCTAAGTATTGGAGAAGCTTTCAGTATAAAATGGGTTGCATTCTTGTTAAAAACACTGATATTATAGCTATAGGTCTCTTGATGGACAGGTTCGAGCGGTCAATCAAAAAGCTGTATTCCATGAGTTTGCGAGAACGCATGAAGAGTAAAAGAGCCGAAAAGGCGTGTACACACGTCTTCAGCTCAATAGGAAAGATTCTGTCGGATTTGCTCGACTTACAGATATCGAGGGAGAAAAGTGCTTTACGCGTTGATTTTTATGTGATCTGGACTGCCGACACATAGTTCTCGCACTGCGGTGTATACCGGCGGTGTCTAATTTCCGCCATCCCAAATCGGGTTGGACGTAATGAGTTTGTATAGGAGATCAACGTTCTCCTTAGCGGTTTGGGTTATCTCCCATAAATAGAGAAGGAAGGTATGTTCTACAGAAATTCCCTTTGACAATCATGACACGAGACCACATGGCATGGGTTTTTGAATAGCGATATAACATTTGTAATCAATATTTATTATTTACATAAAGAACACCTAGACGAAGAACAATAATTTGTGGATCATACAAAGTTTTATGCCATGTTGGGGATCGAACACACAACACTCAATGCAGTAAGAAGCGGAGGCAATGTAGGCAAGTAACAGTCCCATTGCCCTAGTAACATGATTGATTTACCTTTTTCAAATGCAGCAAAATGTGAAGAAACATCTATTTGTTTTAGTTTGGGATGAGGTTCAATTGGTACTGGAGTTATATAGGTTATCTGAAAAGAACACATCGACACAATTATTTTATAAAATTATTAAACTCTTTTCTATCAACTTTAGTACGCTCAGTTAACATTGACAATTTAAACTCCAAAAATTTGTATTGTTACTTAAAAATGTTTTCTCAGCTATGAATTATATTTTTTTACGATTACATTTTGAATATTAACGAAGGAGTTGTTAATATTTTTGTACTTATACATTATATATAAGTAGTTGGGCTAAACTACAGATATGAGACAACCCATAATTATTTTGCTTACACTATCAACGTAGTCTCAATTAATACTGATACTTATTTGTGGTATTTCAATACAGTGAAATCTGCTATTTAAGTGATATTTTATTATCTTAAGATAATTCTGCTCAAAATCAAAGGTCTTGGTAATAGCAAAAAAGTTATAAACTATCTATAATTTATCTCTTATAAATCTTTATATCTATAAACAATCTATAATAATTATCATATAAAGCGGAAACGAATATTATCTTTTGTTGTAATTTAATTTTCGTTCTTTAATGTGTATATTTACAGAGAAAAAAAATGCTTCAGTTTATTAATCACTTCCATTTTGTACTCAGGGACTGATTATAATAATGTTGTTTTAATGCGTAACTGCAGTTTGTAATCATACATTTGGCCGTATGGGGTCAAGGTTCAAGGTTCATAACTACTTGAATACCGATACCTCATATCAGAGTTAAAAACAAATTTTGTTGTTTGAACAAAAATAAGATTGTAAAATTAATATAAATTCTGAGAAAGGAACATGCTATATAGAACAGTAAACGGCACTAGTGGTACATAGTAAATTGCATACAATTCAAGAATAATAATGTTGAATACTCGGACGGAATAAACGGAATAAACACGATGAAAGTTACAGTATCTTATCATATATTTTCAGTAACACAGGAAAGAGGAAGCAGATGTGATAAGTACCAAATGGATATTTATACGGTTTGCACTAATGCTGTTTAGGGTCTCGATATGTAAAGAATAAATAAATAGGCAAAAATTAAGAGGACGTATTAAATGTATTGTGCTATATGTTACACGGACGGTGACAGAGTAAAAAGTAAAGAAAAATTGTAGTCAAATTTGACTTCATCAAAGACTGGCTTAAAATTAAGAAGTGCGTGATTGCTATGAATATTGTAGTAGGCAATATTTCGCAACAAATACAAAAGAGTTAAGTGATTCGTAAGAAAAATTTGGATAGTTTTTAGAGTTTTTTTTTTTAAATGAATTCTCCAAAATATGAAGACGACTTTGAAGATATTGAACAAATAAAACTAGCTGACTTACTTACTAGCATAGGATGCTTAAACCAATAGTATAGTTTTATTCAAACAGTGTACTTCATAATTATTCTTCTTCAAGAGACATATAACCTATGACAGGAAAAAAACAGGATATAACTTGTCTCGAGTACGTGATAAAAGATATTAAACTAATTAGGGAACAGAAGTTTTAAAAATCTATTACAAAGTCTATTACCCGACAATAATTTCGTGAATTCAACTGATTATTAGACTAACGTACATAATTTTATGTTGTTCTTTTTTAACATTTGGGCATATTTTTACACTCGGTTTTGGAACGAGCAGATTCGTTTGGCCTCTATTCCAGAAATAAAAGATAAGAAATCAACAAATGACGACTTGCATTTGCCAATTTATCGATGTCAAAATTGTGGAGAAGAACTCCTGTGACTTTAAGTAAATCGTTTTGTAATTGATTTCTGATGTAAACATATATATGTACGCATTCATATATCAGAACTCAATCATATTCAAAATGATATGTAATGAGGTTGGTAACGTGTGAATTTTAGGCATCCCTTACAGGAGGGATTTTTTAAGGCCTGTCATAGACCAACTGTCAGTGTGTAAATGAACTAGGTAGATATATTTAAGGAATCACTCCTATTTAATATTGCTGAGTAATAAAACTTAACGACGGGACGCATTCGCAGTACATCTCAACTACCAGAAGTAATGAAATAAGCAATAAGATCCACTTCAGGAGACCGTTGAAATATGTTATTACCCGAAAAAAAACTAGCAGAGACATTAATTCATTGATAAAATAACATTTGTGTGTTAACGATTTGACATTACGTGTCCATCAACTAATTGATTATATTTGCATGCAAATTGTGACACATTTCTCTAAATTGGAACGGTTGGTAAAAAGGTCAATAAGAAGCGATACAGAAGACAATTATGCACTGCGCAGAAATCATTGCCATGTTAAAACTAAAACTGACACTAAGCTAAGTTTATCAGATGTAATTAATATTAGTGAGGCAAAATAGGGAAATTAAAATAAAAAAATCAAACATGTAATGAAAATCAAGAGAGATAAAGATCATGAATACACTAGATTTTTTTTTTGAGACGGGTATAACATTAATTCTATCCTTACCTCATGACCAGCGTTCAGTAAATGACGCACATAACCAGCTCCTAAAATTGCATGACTTCTGCCAGGATGTGGAAACACTAAAAGTAAGTTGTATGAACACACATAATTCACTAATATGACTGATACCAGTAATAATGTTAATTTATTCATTTTAAGACACCAGCTGATCTATTTGACGGTCTACTTATAACTAGTGTGTTATCGACCATTTTAAGATAGAAGTTGCAATGTCATTGTTTCATAATACATTGCCAATATTCGTTAATACAAACACGAGTGTACAAATTCAATAATGGTCAATTGTCAATTATCGCAATCGAAAACTTAATGATGTACATATTTTATCAAAAAAATTAAAATTAGATAAATTCATTGTAAGTCCGATCGGTCAAAATCACCACTAACTTCGACCATGAACAAGGGTGCTACGGAGTCTAGTAAATTGTAAGTTTAAACGATTAATTATGAAAGGTACTTAGGTAATATAAACAGGAAGGGTTATTTGTTTAATTTCTATTACACTATAGTGTTAGTCTAGTAGTTGCTAATCCGATAGTTAAAAGTTTTTCTTGTAGTAACAAATCTTATCCTTGGCTTTGATAGTTTAATTTTAAATGAATAGCCTAAAATCGAACTAACTAAGTTGAAAAGGGACCAAAAGTTATAAAAACACTACGACTTTACATTTGTTTATGGTGAAGTGATTAGATTTTTTTGTTATTGAATTTTTATGATAATGACGATGATAATAGTAATGGTAGTGATGATGCGTATATACTATAATACTTGTGGAGGAACGGGTGTCATGTCCCTCCAACACAAAGGGAGGATCCTCCGACCAGGCGAGGTGATCATGCCTGGCGGGCCGCGGCCCAACGGTTGATGTTGGGAAGTTGTATATATGCTAATCGGCGAGGGAATTCTTTATATCGCGATACAGGATTAGCAATTCTTATTTTAGTAGTTACTCCGTAGTTCGGTATGTCTTCATTAGATGGCATTGTAGTATGTTTCTGTTTCTTTGTATGTGGGAGTCGCCACATCACTCCCCTCCAAGACCGGAGGTCGATATATGATGAGTCAGCTGTCTATGCTCTGTTGTGGAGCGTGCCAGTGCCAGTAGTGAGTAGTTCCAGTAAGTCGGAACTGAGTGCCGCTAGTTCCAGTGGGTCGGAACTGAGTGCCGCTAGCCCCAGTGAGCCGGGGCTGAAGTCCGCTGATCCCAGTGAGTCGGGATGGCGTGCGGTGCGCGGTGCTGCGGTGAAGACCCCAGTGAGTCGGGGCGGTTGCTGCGTAGTGGCTGGCTGCTGCGTAGACGGGAGAGAAAATGCTCTTCTTACGTGGACCGTAGGTGCAGTGTGCTGTGCCTAGACGTTGATGAGGCCGTAGAGGTAACCAGGCTTGAGCGGTCGCTACTTGCGTTTGGTATCCCTGTAGAGGCCGAGGTTGCTGGCTGGCTGAGACGTGATTACTGCTCATCGCTGTGGGAGTGTACACGATTTTGCTGCTGATGGTCTGCTCCTTTTGAAGGCTGCTTCCAATAAGGTCGGGGTCACCACTGTGGAGGAACGGGTGTCATGTCCCTCCAACACAAAGGGAGGATCCTCCGACCAGGCGAGGTGATCATGCCTGGCGGGCTGCGGCACCAACGGTTGATGTTGGGAAGTTGTATATTTGGACAGTCAAACCTTTTCTTCACACTGAGAAGGCTGGCTTTCACCAGAATCGCTTGTGTCATCGACCAAATTAATACTTTGCTCATCATCATAGATAACCATCGAACTGACAAAGAGAGCTTACCTTTACCTTTGAAAAGGCTTTTAATACGCGTATGTAGACAAGTAATAGTATATCTGTATAGATTCACTGAAGATCATCAACCTAACAAAGGCAATTAAATAAAGTAAAAAAATACACGAAATAGTCCTGTAGAATAATCTGTAAAATGAATAGTCTTGTAAAATGTACGAAATACTCATAACTGTCTCATTTTGTCTATAGGTCAGGGCTGCCTAGCAAGCAACGTAGAAAAGAGTGAGGAATAACCGATGTCTTAGAAGACCTAAATTATGTCCTAACTAATTATGACCTAAACTATGTGGTTAAGTAGGCGTTCTCAATTTTATTTTCTCAGAAATTGAAAAGATGTGGAGCGAAGGTCAGCACGAGGCTGGAAATGGGTCGAAATAGAAACTATAGATGCCTTCTACCCTATCCAGAAGACATAGGACGTAAAAGCAAAAATAATAAATAAAATTATTCTATTGCATTATTATAAGTATAAACTTTTTTATTAACTATTACTGTCGTCATTCTCTGTGCTCAAAAATGACCATACGATTCGACTAACATTTGTGAGATGTGATAAGTTTGTGGGTATGAGGCAGGTAAAACCAAGAGCCACATCCCCTATGATGGTATATACGACCTCGGCGATAGCGAAAGAGGAGTCCTTAAGAGCCCTTATAAACGAACTCTTAAGGTTTCTGGATTTGGTGGCCACTTTCTGTATTATGGCCACTGCCATGTTTGCTCTCCTGCAAAGACACCGGTGTTAGGGGGACGGATCTACTTTCTACCAGTTCTACTACTACTCACTTTAGGAGGCAGCATCTCCTGGAAAGTATCACTCTCTTCGTTCCTGGGGCATCCACGTTTCCTACTATCGCAGAGCTCCATTTCCATCAAATCTAATGCGTCCATCGTCGTACTGTAGCGCACCTGGAACCTAATCGTTCCGATATTCTTTGGCTCCCAGCAACCAAATTGACTTCTGGGAGCCCTACCAAGATAGGTGTCCCAAGCAAAACTTCCTCATTGTTAGACGAGAAGTCATCTGCTTTTCTTGTCTTTCCTTCTTATCCTTCGCCTTCTTTTCTTCCTTTATTGTTTGTTTTAATTAATATTTATCACATCATCATCACATCAACAGCCTTTAATAGTCCACTGCTGAACAGAGGCCTCTCCTTTATCCTTAATATTAATTCCATATTTAAACCCACGAAGGGGGGAGGAATAAAAGTCGACCCAGGCAAATATCCCCAATAAGCGTAAATTTGTGCCCAACTGAGGGTAGTACCAGTTAGCCCAAAGTACCTCGGCTGGGAGTGCTCTTGCGACTGAACTACCCATCAACCATGCATCTCCTGGCCACACACCTGAACTCGGGATTCGGAGTAATTTTTTATAGAGGTTTTCTTCCTCGCAGTCCGGGCGGCTAAGCCAAGACTCTCGCCCCCGACCGGAGTCGCGAGAGATAGCCACGACACTTCTTCCGTGATTACGATATGTCGACGGCGGTATAAAGAGAATTCTCCGCCGAGCACGTCCTCGTTTCTCCACTGCTGACAGTGGATAAACTCCGACCCATGAGAGGGTCTCGCGGTTTTTTATGGAGGTTTTCCTCCTCGTTGCTTGAAAAGCAGTACCATCGCCAACGTTTCCACCATGTAAACCCCGGTGGGGTGACGGCCCGAGGGCGTTTTCGAGGGAAAAAAAAACGTGTAGGTCTCGTGACGTCCGACAGAAGTGATAACTTAAATTAATCTAAGATCAACTATTCAATATTAAAATTGTTTAACTTGAGAAAAGCTTTGGTTATGACTTAAATTTTATGTAAAGCGTCTATCCGCTAGCGCTGTGGGTTAGAGTGAGAGAGAAGGAACCTTCCTACCGCTGCCGTATGCGTGAGAGAAAGGGAAGCCAGGCAGACTGGCGCCTTCACGCGTTACATAACGAAGCGGTTTACCCTTCCATAACAAGTTATCACTTCAAAAGGCACAACCTAGAAATACCGGTGTCATTTTCTGGTCTGGCACATCTTTACGGTTTCACATCTTAAACGCGAATTATCAATTTCATTTGTGTCAATGTTTCAATATTATCAATATTGCAGCTGTAATAGGTTATCTACATTAGTTATATTTTATATGTCATGAGGATCAATTTAGTATACACTAGTACGATAAATAATTGGGTTGTTATGACTCTTCTTTAGAAACATTGCAGATATGATAAATTCTCAAATGGTGACAACCAGATTTAAACGTTCTGCAATAATAGCATCTTAAGTCATGTCTGACTTGTCCCTTGTCAACAGCTCCAGAGACTATGTTAAGAATCTGGATTGAGGGTCTCACGCATAAAGTAGCCCTTCTCGACGCACTCTTTAAGCACCAGTATATTGGTCCTGGTGCCTGTGACCGGCGGGACATTATTTCTTCATATTTTAAATATATGTTTTTATTGAAGTGTATTAAAAAAAAATATCTTCATGCGTATTAGTATAATGGTAATTTATTTGCTTTGCCTTGCTGGATTCACGTGTAAAATCTAATTTTGCAAGTATGTATTATTTTTCATAAGAAAATTCTTAACTAATGTTTAGGTTATGTATATAATGTTTATATATATACGTTGAATTCTAGAAATAATAAATTATTATGTATATCTAAAGTAATATACATACATGACATCTTAAATGTTTTTATGTTAACTAATTATGTTAACTTTCTCAAATTATCTATTATAATTTTCAGGTATGGTTTCATCAACAGCCTTTAATAGTCCACTGCTGGACATGGCCTCTCCTTAGAAAGAAGGTTATAGCCTACTAAAGAAAAAAAAATATATATACGAGTATATACATATATTATTAGCTCTTGGAAAGGTCTTTGCACGAGTTCTACTGAACCGCCTAACGGACCTATCAGAAAGGATCCTGCCTGAAACCCAGTTCGGCTTCCGACCTAACCAAGGCACATGTGAAGGTATTTTCTCGGTGCGTCAACTTCAGGAGAAAAGCAGAGAACAGGGACGTCAGCTGTACCTCTGCTTTGTTGACTTGGAGAAAGCATTCGACAGTGTGCCTAGCGAAGCCCTCTGGATGGTACTGGGAAAACTAGGATGCGCAGAGGGGTTTGTGAGACTTCTGCGACTCCTGCATGACAACATGCAGTGCTGCGTCTCCGTAGACGGCGAACAGTCCGACTTTTTCCCCGTTACCTGTTTGGTAAAGCGTCCTAGCACCCACACTGTTCGCTCTATACTTCGCAGTAGTTGTCAAGGAGGTCCTACAAACTGTTTCTGAAGGAGTTCGCATTCGCTTTCGCACCGACGGTAGCCTTTTCAACTTGGCCAGACTTAAAGCC